CTACCCCGTTGCGGGCCCGGGCCGGGTAGGGGGGGGACCCTGAGGGTTGCTATCCTTTGCCGGACAGGAAAAAAGAAAAAAAGGAAAAAAAAAAAACTAATGTCAGTTAAGGGGCCGGCCCAGTGGTGCACTGCTATAGTGTGCCGCTTTGGAAGTGCGGCGGCGCTCCCGCCGAGGGTTCGGATCCCACATACAGACCGGTTCCCGCTCACTGGCTGAGCGAGGCGCGGGAGCAACACCGAGGGTTGCGATCCCGTTGCCGGTCCCGGTCCGGTACGGGGGCGACACTGAGGGTTGCTATCCATTGCCGGACACGGAAAAAGACAAAAAGGAAAAAAAAAAAACTAATGTCAGTTAAAACATAAGCAATATGCTCTTTAAGACTCAAATTAGGTGGAAAAAGGAAAATAATATTTAGCGAGCCTTTACCATATGCTTGGGTATGGGGCTTTTTGTACCTCACCTCCTGCCAGTGCCATGTGGAAATGAGCAACCCCCCTACAGAGATTAGGACGTAGAGGGCTGCCTCCCTTTCTCAAGAGCAGGAATTTAGGATTTGGTTGCAAAGCTGAGGTTTCCATGTCAGGTTGTTCTTCTGAAACCTGACTTCTTAGACTAGGAGAATTAGAAGACACTTGGGAATCATATCAACCAGTGGTTCTTAAACTCGAGTGTCCATCAGAACCCCTGGAGACTTGATAAAACCCAGACTGATGGGCTCCACCCCAGGGTTTTCTGATTCAGCAGGTCTGGAGTGGGGGGCCTCAGAATTTGCATTTCTAACAAGTTCCTAGGGTACTGGTGTTGCTAGTCCGAGGACCATACTTTGAAACCCTCTGGCCTAAACCATCCTTTTCCAGAGTGTGGGATGAGTACTTCTAGTGATACACGAGGTGATTTCAGGTGATACACACACTTTTAAAAAATGCTTCAGTATTTAATATCTATAGGCAGAAAAGTAACCAGCACACCAAACCGATGATTTCAGGTATTTTTGGTTAAGGTGAGATATCTACTGAAGTAGAAAAGAAAGAAGCTATAAAGAAAAGTACTACATAAATAACAGTATTGGAGACGTGTAGCTAGTGGTGAAAATTGTGAATGTGGTATGCAGGTAACAGAAGTCCGGGAGACACTGAGCTAAACAGAAGTCCTCATTTTACAGACTGTGTCCCACAGAGGTAAGCTGGCTTCCCTGGGCCATGTGACCATCAGCAGCAGTGCCCAGGCTTGAGCCATCTCTAAGACGGCTGAGATTTCCTGTCCTGCTGGCTGGCCCAGTTCTTCAGAGCACTGGGCAGACCAGGAGGGTCACTGTGACTCTGACCCTACCCCAGGCGTCTCCATTCTCAGCCCTAAAATCAAGAGTCCCTGTTTCTAGTGTTGGTCATTTGCACATATTTGGTTATCTTGTCTGAAGCCAGAGCTTCCCAGAAGGCAAGAGACTGGATCTACAAACTTACCCTTTTACAGCTCCCAGGCCCCAAGGGCCCCAAGAACGGTTTCATGCAGGAAAGTTGAAGGAGGGGCTCGTGTGACTTTACTGGCTACCAGCTTTGGCCCTTTGCCCTCTGTGGGGCTGTCCCAGAAGCCTCTGCTTTCCCTGTGTGGTGTGATCCAGGGAACCCCCTGAGCAAGTGAGCAGGGCAGTCCTCAGGTTGTTACTGAGCATATGCTGTGTAGCAAGAGCTGTGACGGGACTGAGCTTTGGGAACATGGGAGACAGGAGCCCTGCCCTCAGGAGCCACGGTGTATGAGGATCAAATGGAAAATGACTTCGAGATATAGTACTTGCTTCAGGAAAGGAAAGAACAGGGTGTAAGATATAGGCTATACCTTAAAGGCAGGGCAAGTGGACGTGGGGAGAGGCCTGGGAAGCCTTCCTGGAGGAAGTGGCATTGAAACTGGCTTTTGAAGGGTGAAGGAGAGAAGGCTGTTTAAGGCAGTGGGAGAAGCCTGTGCCAAGACTTGACAAAGGGAACTGTGGTCTTCAGCAAGGGCTTGCTTGAGTTGGGGGAGCTGCCTGGGGGGAGAGGTAAGTGGCAGGGCACATGCCCCAGAAAGCTGTGCTGAGGGCCTGCACTGGATTCTATAAGCCCTGGGGGAGCACCTCAGGGGTTGACCTGGGGAGGATCCAGATGCCTTTTGCATGTCAGCTAGACCCCTGAGGGAAGGTAGGAGCAGTCTTTCAAATTGCAGGCCATGACCCATTAGTGGGTTGCAAGATCAATTTAGTGGGCTGCAGCCAGCATTTTTAGAAAGGGGAGTTGGGGGAGAAGTAAAATCGGAAATATCAGAGTTGATTACACATAGTACTGATAGGTATTGTGTCAAGAAACTTCAGTTTTATGTAAGGAAAGTATGTGTGTATACTGGGTTGTAACATGAGATGTTTTCTTGTCATGGGTCACACTTTAAAAAGCTTGAAGGTTATTTCAAGGTGCAGAGGGGCTGACTGGCAGGGGTCAAGTGGCTGGCGTGGCCATCCAGGCCTTAGGTGAGGCATGCAGCTCGGGGCCTTGATTGAAGGGACTGAGAGGGAGAGTGGATTCCAGCATTGACCTGATGTAGCAGGTGAAAATGGCAAATTGGGGCTGACTCAAGTCAGAAAGTCTGCCCCAGCCCAAGGCTCTTGGGCCAAAAGAACAACTTGTTTCAGTCTTGGTACCCTTTTGGTGGTGAACTGGGAGTCCAAGTTGCTGGGCAGCTTTGGGAGAGAAGGGGTACTTCCTTCTCCTTGACAATTGGTGGCCTGGGCCTCTAGGGTCCTTGTGGTACAACTCTGAACTTTCATTTCCTCCCTCCTCCTTGACAATTGGTGGCCTGGGCCTCTAGGGTCCTTGTGGTACAACTCTGAACTTTCATTCCAATTATTGAATGTGTTCAAATAAAACTCAAGCAGGCACTTGCTCCTAGGGCCTGCAGGCTTGATGAGGATGTCTTTGTAGGAGCCAGGCTGGTAATGGACCCTCTGCTGCTGTCCTCTCACTAGGAACGTCGTGAAGGGCATGAGAGAGCTCCGGGAGGTTCTGCGGACTGTGGAGACCAAAGCGACTCAGAACTTCAAAGTGGTAACATGGAGCACTGGCTGTGACTGGTTTATTCAGGGGTCAATTCCATGGGAGACAACAGAAGTCCTAGCAGGCAGCCCCTGACGCAGGGATGGCAGTCTGTGGCGTGCACGCTCCTCTCCCCTGCTCGTGGCAGACGTTGTCACTCAGTGTCAGCACTCTTCCTGCTAAGCCTGGGAGCACCCTCAGCATCCTTCTCAACACAGCACTGCAGACAGCTCCTAGCCTTGGCTCAGAGTTCAAATCTACTGCCACCCCTTTCCTGAGCAAAACTGTGTCCCAGCTCATTCTTAGGGATTTGTTTATGATCCTAATAAATACGTTGACTCTGCTTTCCTGCCCCAACTCAGGCCTGCCTTCTTAGGCCTTCGTTCATTCAAAATCGTAGCCACGGCTGCTTCTCATGCTAGGATTTTGGGACAGTTATGAAGAAGGCATCTGGTAGAAAGAGCTGCCTGTGCCTATGGCTTTATGCTTTTTTCCAACTCTGCAAGGGCCCGCCGAGTCCTCAGCACTCTGCTAGGCTCTGTGGGGTTAGGAGGAGGAGGAAATGCAACTCTTGTTGAGCAGAGGAGAGGTGAGAAAAGATAGAGGAGCCAACCAAGGCCAATAGAAGCAGGGGTGGGGGGAGCCTCAGTGCTGGAAGGACTGAGAAAAGCAAGGGGGCTGCTTGGCGTGGAGCTATGGGGCCTCCTGGGAGCAGCACGTTGCAAGGTGGGCAGATTTGGCTGGGTGGTGGGCGGAGGGCATTCTAGGCCAGGTGGGGATGGGGGGTGATGACATGTACCCAGGTCTGAGTACCTCCCTCTCTGCCAGATGGCAGCCAAGCACCTGGCAGGGGTCCTGCTGCACTCCCTGAGTGAGGACTGCTACTGGAGCCCCCTGTCCCACCCCCTGCCCGAGTTCATGAGCAAGGAAGAGAATTCCTTCATCACGCAGGCCCTGCGCAAACCTCACCTATACGAAGGAGACAAGTAAGTCCTGCCTGCCCCACGGGACTGTGCCAATCTCATGCCATGCACAGGGTTGGGTCCCTGCTGGTGGCTCCTCTCTTTGCCCACCCAGCATACTACCAGGCAGGCTCTTTAGCTTCAGTGGGAGCCAAGTAGACTAGAGAAGGCAGGTCTCAGGGTGGAGGTTGGGGGAGAATCCCAGAGGCCAAACAAGTTATTTGGGGGTTACCTGCCTTCCTAATAATCTTGTCTGTCACATCTCTGTCTTGTTTGTGCCAATAATTGAGATGGGGTCTGTGGCCAACCAGCAGAGCTCTGTTCGCTCGCCCCTGCCCTTCGTGCAGTTCTGGGCACTGGATGGGCAGTTCTCCCCCAGGAGCATCTGCAGTATTCCAGCCCACTGCAGCCTTTCAGACCCATCACTCTGGGGCATGTGAAAGAGTTGCAGGTGGTGTCCGGTGCCTGTGAATTATGCAGCAGAGGGTCACCTTACTGGGCTGGTACTGACTCTGGGGCAGAAGGGCCAGCATGGTGGGCCAGCAGTGCTGCTTGGTGAGGGACCGGCTGAAGCCAGGGCCCCCGTTTGTGTCTTTCAGCCTCTACTGCCCGAAGGACAACATTGAGGAAGCCCTCCTGCTCCTTCTCATCAGCGAGTCCATGGTAAGCTCCAGGGCACTCCTCAGGGGCCTCTGGCCTCTGAGCCTGTGAGGTAGGGCTGCAGGCTGCAGGACAAGCCATCCAAGTCCTGGCCAACCTCAGCCTCCCAGGGATGCCCCAGAAACAGCAGTTCTTGGCCCAGCTCCCCCATCTAGGGGTCAAGTCTAGCTTATTAGGCTTGGGTTTGGCTGCACAGGCTGCATTTGGGGGCCTGTGTTCTGCCCCCAAGTCAGTAGGGACTGAGCACATGAGTCCCCACCCACCTCCTCTGGGGTTACAAAAGGTGATTTTCAACAAGTCAACAGTATGCACTGAGCAGCTCTGTTCTGGGTGCTGTGGTGGATAGAAAAGAGTGGCAGGTAGGGGGTGGAGAGAGTGTGCACTTTGGAGGCAGAAGGCCTGGATTCAGGTTCCATCTCTGCTGTTCATTAGTCAAGGGCCAGGGGCAAAGTGCTTAAGCTCTTTGAGCCTCAATTTCCTCCCCCGTAGGATTATGGTAACTCACAGCCGTAAATGTGCCTATGGAAGGAATTCATTTGTTCATGCAGCAACCACTTATTGAGCATCTACTTTGTGCCAGGCCCTGTTCTAGATGCCAGAGACACTGCAGCACACAGGACGGAGAAAAGTCCCTGCCCTTGTGGAGCTTACACTCTAGCGAGGGAGGTGGGCAATAAATTAACTAACTACAATATCCAGGGTATCAGTGTGAGTGCTATGGAGAAATAAAGCAGAGAAGAGACAAGCCACGCTGGACAAAGCCCATGTGAAGTGCTGCTAGCCTTTTCACAAGACCCATTGCCTGTGCCCCAGGCCGGGAGACAAAGCAACCGCACATACATGCGTGCACACATATACACATATGCACATGTACAACAGCCACAGTGCCAGGCAATGCTTTCTCCATGCCATGGTACTTTGGAGGCTCAGTGAAAGAGAGCATAGTGTGGTTGGTGGTTCAGGTGGTGAGACTAAGGGTGGATGGACTGGTCCCAGGGAGGGTAGGAAGGGTGCAGCAGGGACAGTAGAAGCCACGTGTGGAGGTGCTGTCCATGCCGCTGGGTCCAAGTCCTCCGACTGAGGGGCCCATCAGAGCTGGTGAGCTGGGGCCCACCAAGTTGAGAAACAAGTTTTGTAAAATGATGCATCTGAGAGCAGCGTATGAAAGTGGAAATTAAGAAACCAAGACCCCACAAGCTGGATCCCGGAACAGCCAGAAATGATTATTTCTTTGGCCATCTGGGACCATGCAATACCAGGGTTGTTGGGTTGCCTCTGGCTGCACAGGCCTCCTGGCAAGTAGACAGGAGGAGCAGTGCTGGCTGTGGGGTGGGGGCATTGTATCCTTCCTTAGCCAGGCCTGGTTCATTTGAATCCAGGGTGCTGGTTGGCCAGGATGTTGTCCTGAAGGGTTTGCTGGGTGCTTGCGAGATGGGTGAATGGTTGCTCAGAGAGGGGACATCTAGCTGGTTAGCCAGATGTGGAGACAGAGGTCCCAAGTGCCAGATCTGATTTTCATGGGAGAACAGTGTGCTTTTCACAGATAATGGGCCCTTGCTCTGGCCGTAGACTGAGCCCCAGTTTCTAATCATGGAACCCCAGATACCTCCCAACCCTCCCCCACCCCCAGCCATCTCATTACTTACACCTTCAGGCGAGGCTGCACTGGAAATCACCTATCTCTATCATCACCTTCGTGTGCTGAGGGCTACAGTGTAGTTCACAGGTAGATGGTAAAAAGGTGTAAAACAGACCATTTCTTAGGTCCTTTGTCTGCCCAGTTCCAACCTGATTACCTCATATAGGTAAGCATTATGTTGAGCCATATGAAATTGCCGGTTTTCAATTGTTTATGACTTCAAACAACTATATATATAGTTTAGTCTAATACTAATATGTTCCCACCTTACAGATGAGAAAAGTAAGGTCTAGGACAGGTACATGTCTTGGTCAAGGTCACATACTAAGAAGCTTTGCAGCCATGATTCGAACCATGTCCATCTCCCTAAATAATTTCCAAAGCACGGGATGTGGAGCCTGAGCTCTTGCATTTCAGTCCTGATTCTGTCCCTCGCTAACTGCTCTTTTCCTTGGCTTTCTCATCTGTAAATGGGCCAAGGAGGTAATTTTGAGGATCAAATTCGATCAGTCTTGGGCAGGGCTTTGTAAACAGGGACATACCTGTCAGTGTGAGAATGGTCATTGTTTTTCTCCTGTGCAGAAATTGAGGCTGGGCTCTGTCTCCTCAAGACATTTTCTGTGGCCTCTGTTTGATCTGGGTCCCCAGGACCAGAGTTCAGATGCCTTTCTGTTAAGGGTATCCCTTTCCAAAACCTCAAACTGCCCTATATCTCAAAGTGAAGAATGGACTCATTAAAACGCAGTCCACATGTGGAGCCAGGTGAATTTTCCTGAATATGTGGTTTCACCCCAGGCTGCTCTTTCCATTTTGCAAAAGGGAGCATGGCTGGCATCCTGCCCAGGAGACCTGGGGGTGCAGACTGGCTGGCCAGGCTGTGCCCTGGGAAACTCCGAGCAGCCTATGAGGCAGAGGGACTGCTTAGACTCAGAATGCACTGCAGCTGGGAGGAGGCACCTCTGATGGGGTTGGCTGGTTTGTTTCCTCCTGCTCACACCCAGCCTGTCAGACATTTAGAAACTTGAGGAATTTGGAGACAGCACTGGCGATGACCTCTGGCTCAGAGCGGTTTCTCAGAGTGACCAGACCTGCCCTCTCTCCTGCCTTTGTTTGACATCCGCCTTCCCTCCAGTCACATTCTTGATCATTGAGAAAACTAGGGCATGGGCCCGGCTCTGCCGCTTCCCAGGCTCCTGCTCTGACACCTCAGCCTCCATATACCAGCAGGGTTTTCCTCATATCTCCTTGATGCTGGCTGGGTTTGGCCACATATGATGGGCTTGGGGAGAAACCTCTGGAACAGCATCTGGTGGCCTTGGCTGCTACTTGGATTCTTCTGATATCTGAAGAACTCATTATGGTGCAGTAGAAGTTATTCACACAGAGCCAGCCCAGGAAATGTAATCATCGCTCCACCCCGGGATGTCCAGAGCAGCTGCTCTAGGAAGGGGTGTTTGCAGGCTTCCTGAGCATGGCAGTCCCTATTTTGTGGTTTGGGACTCAGAGGAGTAGCTGCATGGGGTCTCGGTATGGGGCTGGTGGCTTGGATATGGTTTTTGTGACAAGTTGTGTGTGATGAGAATGAATGAGGAACCTCTTGTCTTTCACCAAGTAGACAGAAATCTTAGATGCCTTCACAGGAATGCAAGGGATATGAGTTACGACTCGTTTAAAAATATTTGTGTTTTAAACCCACTTTTAAGTCTTTGAAGCCAAAAGGGCACTTTAAAATTCATCCACCCACCATCCATCCATCCATCCATAGATCCACCCACCCACCCGTCCATCCATCCATCCATCCATTCATCCACCCACACACCCACCCATCCATCCATCCATTCATCCACCCACACACCCACCCGTCCATCCATCCATCTATCCATCCATCCATCCATCCATCCACCCACACACCCACCAATCCATCCATCCATCCATCCATCCATCCATCCATCCATCCATTCATCCACCCACCTACCACCTATCTACCAACCCATTCATCCACCCATTCACCCACCATCTATCCATCCACGCATCCATCCATCTGTTCATCTACCCACTTACCCATTCACCCACTCACTCATCCATCCATTCGTCCATTCACCCATCCATCCACCATCCATCCATCTAATCTTGTTTGAGCATCTACGACATGTTGGACCATGCTCAGCACTGTAAATACAGTGATGAACAGTTCAATCATAGTCCCTGTCCCAGATGTCTTTCCACTTAGAGTAGTGTATGCCCAAGGACATGGAAGAAATCCTGGTCCCAAAATTGGAAGGAATTATCCTCTCTGCTTAGTCCCAAATGTAAATTCTAGTTTTTGAAAGAACCATATATCAAGCCAGCCTGATTTTTTCGAATAGGAGGTATGGGAATCTTTGTCATTTATAAAATACTGTGTCCAGAGCATAAAAATATGTGCTAAAGCAAACTGAATCCGTGGGTCCCTGTTTCGTTCATCTGGAGAAGAAGTTGCTGCTTGTGTAGGCTCTTAGATTTGGAAAGGGTACAGAAGCTTGGTTTTGAGTGAGGACAGGTGGGTGGATATGTCCCTGGGGTCTGGGACTCTGCAGGGTAACAAACTAACTTTGTGCCACGCCTGATACTGGGCACCTGGTGATTTGAATCTTGAATTGCCGTTCACAACATGTGTGGCCTGGGCAAGTTTCTTACCTCCCTGAGTTTTGTCATCTGTAAATGGAGCTAATAAGGCCACTCTTGCAAGAGTTTGGGTGGATGAAGTAAGAAAATAACACAAAGGTACCTGGTACATTTTGGTTGTTTAGTATGTGTTCATTTTATCCTTAGACATTTTTGAAAACATTTAGATGAAAATCTGGTTGGAGGATAAATTGGATTGAGGATACCATTCTGTTTGGTTTTTTAATTTTTTTTTTAAAAAGTACTTCCTGGGCTTGATTCCATTTGGGACTCAGCAAAGGAGCACAGATTGTCCCAGCATTTGGCACCCGGTTGCTCTAACATGAGGCCCTGCTCTGCTGAAAGCTACGATGGTAAAGGGTCTGATAAAGCTGCCAGCTCAGAGCCCTGGGTTCAGAAGAGGTGGGAGAGCCTCTTCCTAGCTGGCAGGAAGAGCTGTGATTTCCGGCACAACAGGAGAGCGGGGGCTGGCACGGGCCTGGCTTGGGTCTGGCTCGGGTCTTTGGGTAGCTGGGACACGTCACAGAGCATGTTATTTCTCAGCTCTGTGTCCGCAGCTCTGGAGCCGGTGGTAATTATGTCTACTGGTGGGGGATGACGGCATGAGCAGAACATGGCAGCATCCTCGGCCTGGGGAAGGTTGGACAGGCACTGGGCACAGATACTGCCAGGAGACCTCTTTGCAGGGTGATTGTTCGGG